TACACTCATTATCGAGTAATAATACTTTTTTTTTGGCCAATTATTTTTGTAACACACTGTATCTATCTTATTTATATCGAATTTTGTCAAAAATTATATTAAATGGTTCATTCCTACTCGAACAGTACAAATACTAACACTCTTCATTTTAGTGATATGAAACACCTATTCGTGCATGATTTTAGAAAGGTCCTGTTTATTTTTATTTTTTTTTTTAATAAAATTTTTTATGTTACATGAGAATAAGTAATATAAATTTATAATATTATATAGGCTTTACTTCTTCAGATTCCTGAATTTTACTCTCTCGATCAGATGCTAAAGATGGGACTGCAATTAGCTGCAATTCAATTTTTATATGCCGTAATTAGTTGCAACTAGTCGCAATTAATTGAGGAGCTATCTTTAGTTGATCAATTCTTATATTTTCTCAATGGATTCCTTTCTGCTTGCCGTACCCCATATTTTGCAATCTTGGTCCAATAAACTGATTTTTAGTCACTTGATTTGTCTCGCTCCTTAAAATACTAATACTAATACCCAATACATTTTACATTTTACTATTAGTGTTATAACGTCTGCGATTTTGACATTAGCAATGTGGGCTCGAGAATTTTTAGTTCATTACATCTTTCCATTAACTCCAATAAAAAATATATAAATAAGGAAAAGAGAAAAAAAATATTAACTTCAATGGATATAATAATTTAAAGAATTTATCCATAATTCATTAATGCACGTCGTCTCTCTTACCAGGTTGTTTCTAGTATACAATCATACGCTAATATTGATCGGATTTCATTATATGAGACACTACGTCTCGGATCAATAGGATAATTATGAGAAAAAGATATGTGTAGTATAAGACATCGGCTTAATTGATTGGCATATTTTATCTTTCGTATTGTAGTAATATTCTTCATACATCTATTTCTCAAAAAGAAATCAACACCGAAACGAAACTCCACAGTAAAGGCGATAATTTAAAAGCAATGAATATGTTATCTTTTTTGTTTATTGTTTAATTCTACATTCACAAAGAAATTGTGAGCCGAAATTTTATTTTTCATTGGCTATGTTTCCGTTGTCGATACTATTTCAAGTTAACTTCATAACAATAAAAGAGATATTAACTTCAAATCATATCCTTTAGTTTGTGGGAACACCACATACAATCACTGTAACACTTTCACCTGATATATTGTTCTGGAGGAACCGATTGGTTCATTGTTTCCGGAAATCTTGTTCTCGTTGTTGTGGCTATTTGTACTGGAAGAGAGTGTCAAATTCCAGCTGGAGCTGCATTTAATATAGCAGCAGAAGTTCTGATACCAACCACTTTACCTGAATCGTACAGTATTGGAGTTGCTGTTGTGTATGTACCTTCTTCACAGAATGCTCTAGATTGTGCATTTGCTATTCTTGGTGATGATGTATCTACTGCGAATACGTCATTTCTCCCAAAGTTTGTTTTTAAATTATAATTAGAAGCAATAAAACACAAAAAAACCACATGATCTAGTACAAAAGCGCTTGAGAGTATATATGTATAACAGTAATTAAACAACGTTTTTGGAACGGATACTACATTTTTACTTTTATATTTGTATTAATATGTTGATTTAACTTCATTACTGATTTATTATTATTATCACGCTTTGTATATTTATATCACACAGCTAATTCGATTCCAATAAAATGGCAAAAACCAAAGATTTGGTACGATAACCAAACTATAACCTTCCTTGTTACAACGAAATGGCTTGACATATAACGATAAGAAAATTTACTAGTCGTATTTTTATATGTTTTCATAATTCGTTGAAACAAATGTGATGTTGCGTTTTTTACTATTGCCTTCATAATTTTTTTTCTTTGATGTCTTGTCTTCATTTGCCTTAACGGCCACACACAATAATACACTTTTTAAATTTCTACGAAAATGAAAAATATCTTAAATTTGTTCAAAAAGGGCTGGGAACGTATAAAAATTATGTTTCCAACAAAATAATTTAATAAGAAAAAAATAAAGGGTAGGATAAACCGATCATAATAATAACAAGCGTTGTAAAATTTCATACGCACTATAAATTTAATGAATAGATAAATCTTCCAATACACAAATCATTTGCCAGGATTCCGAAATCCAACATATCCACATTTTTAGACAATATCTCTGTAAGTTTGATTTCCCTTATCACTCTTGTAGGTCGCAGTTCCATTGATAGACCCGCCTATGGAGCTGTAACTCGAAATGCAGTAGAAATTGAAGTCATTTAATTTTTGGCATTAGGTGAAATAATTGATGACAACGACGATGATTAGTGATTTATAACATTTCAATTATGGCCACCCAATCGTGTTTCGAGCATGTGACCGAACTTTTTGTCCAGGTGTATGTCTGTAATAATAATATAAAATACGCGTATTAATTTAATTGAAAAAACTAATTTACACCATAACGTTTCTTTATTAAATAAAAAATCAATTAATTTTCTTTATTAAATTAAATAAATAAATAAATAAAAAAGATCGAGCATACATTAGAAATAAAATAAAATTATTCATTTTAATTTTTAATTATATATAAATTATATATAAAATTTTATTTCACCATCCTCTTTTAGCCAAAAGTTGATGCGTCGGTATTGTTTCAATATTAATGCCAACCTTAATATTTTTTTTGAAAACGTTATTTTAATAGATGGAACAAATTAAAACGATAGCATCATCTTAAATTTGAAAACATAACATACCATAGGTTCACCTAAATCTTCAGATACATTCGCTAATACTTTTGGATCATTGTAATAAGTTACAGCCTGAACTATGGCTTTGGCTCTTTTTGCTGGATCGCCAGATTTAAATATTCCAGAACCAACAAACACACCATCACACCCAAGTTGCATCATCATTGCTGCATCTGCAGGTCTGTTTGTAAATATTTTTTTAAAAAGTAAATAAAATAAAGTTAAAATCTTTAAGAATAATCAATGTTAAAATGATATATTGTATCATCAAATAATTACGTTGCCAAACCCCCGGCAGAGAAATTCACTACTGGAAGTCTTTTCAATTCAGCAGTCTCTTTTAATAAATTATAAGGTGCCTGTATTTCTTTAGCATAACAATATAATTCTTCGTCATTCATAACTGAAGCTTTTCTAATTTCATTTGTAATAGTTCTCATATGTTTTACAGCTTCTACCACATTTCCTGTGCCTGCTTCACCTTTGGTACGTATCATTGCAGCACCTTCAGTAATTCTTCGAAGTGCTTCACCTAAATTCTTAGCCCCACATACAAATGGAACTTTGAAATTATTTTTATTTATGTGATGTTGTTCATCAGCTGGTGTAAGTACTTCGGATTCATCAATATAATCAACATTAATTGCTTCTAAAATCTTTATTGTTGTTGATGATAAATATATATGGAATAAAATTAATATATATATATATACATAATGACATGAAAAATAACAATTGGAAAAAAGGAAAACATAGTGTTCAATTTTACCTGAGCTTCTACAAAATGTCCAATTCTTACTTTAGCCATTACTGGAATTGTGACTGCTGCTTTTATCTCTTTTATCATTTTTGGATCAGACATTCTAGCAACGCCACCTAATAATATTAATAATGAAATTTTACTAGATTACAACAATGTTGATTTCTGAATTTATATATTTATTTATTTATTTAAAAAAAATATATTTTAAACCTTGTTTTCTAATATCAGCTGGTACACGTTCTAAAGCCATAACAGCTACTGCGCCAGCTTCTTCGGCAATTCTTGCTTGTTCAACATTCACAACATCCATAATTACTCCTCCCTTTATTATTATTTAATGGTAATTAAATAATTTTTAAAAAAAAATTTTTTTTGATCAGAAAAAATAAAATTAATAAAAACAAACCTTCAACATTTGAGCAAGACCTGTTTTAACTTTGAAGTTGGCTTGAACAGATGAATGATTATTGGTTATCACTCCATTTGTAAATGTTTTTTTATTAGCAGTCAAATTTGATGGTGTGATAAATTTTGTAGACATTTTTTTTTGCTAAAAAAAAATTCAAAGGTCATTGTATTTATAATCGTAGAGATTTTATACTAATTTTTGTACTAGAAATTTTATTGGGTACATACTTTTCATTTGGATGTATGGAATATGGACCTGCCAACTACTAATAGTAATAATAATAATAATAAATAGTAATAGTAATAGTACAATAACGATGATTTAGCGGATCTTGATTTAATATTAGTATTAGCAGATGCCTAATACTAATTACTAATACCAACCAATACTATTCTGACGATTTAATATTTTATTATTATTATTATTATATAATATATGTCGATCAAAAAACATCTAATGTTGATCATTGAAGTATAAAAATACTTTACTGATCTATACAATTGCAAGTTGCAGTCTTAAAAACATCTCCAAAAAATATATTTAAATTTTCGTTTTTTTTTAAAAAAAAAGCGCAACAATAAGAACAACAACAAAAGAAAAAGAGAAGTCGAAAGAGCCAATACCAAAGGGAAAATGTTTATTAAAAAGAATGGTAGTTATCACCACTCGGCATCACTAGGTATTTAAAAGGAATGGTTTATGTAAACTAAAACCTTAACCTTGATATACCTTGATATTTGTTTCTTAGTGAACCATTAAAATATATGGTAAGTAATAAATCTTCTTGAATGGATAAGGCTGACTGTTTGTGTTTAACGAACTTTGATTGGTCCTATAGGAAAGTGATCTGAACAGTTTGCGAGGTTTGGTGGAAGAACTCAGAACAGAGAATGATATTTTAAAGAAATCATTGTTGATAGCACAAGATAACAACAATGATGACAATAGAGAAATATACCACAGAGATGTTGCTTTATTAAAAAAACTGGCAGCAATAGATAAGGTAAAAAATAAATAAACAAAAATCTATTTGTTTTATTACTTTTTGAAGAAAAAAAATTAATATTAATAAAATTTTTAAAAATGAAGATGATCAATGAGTTATTCATTGTTTAGAATACAATGTCATTTAAATATCATGGCATTGGCAAAAGGTCTTGTTGCCAGAGACCTCAGAATTTAGATGCAGTGTTGGCAAATCTGTCTAAAAGTCCAAATTGTCCAAATTGTGTCCAATATCTGGATCCAAATGTTTAGTTAGTATTTGGAATTGGACATGGTTTAACAAAGTCACATTGGCATATTGGACAGTCCAAATAGCCACTGTGCTAATTGGACAAGACAAATCCAATTGAAAATTAATTGGACATATAAAAATGCCAACATTGCTTGGATGGATCAATTAGTAGTTCACAACTGATTGTGACAATTGATACTCAGTTATCATATCATATCCTTTATTATTGTTCCTTTATTATTGTAATTGTTATTGATTATTGATATTATTCCTTAATTAAAAAATTATCTAATAAACATCTCAAAACAAAAGCAAAAGTCGTGATTGTTGTCAAGAAGGAGGTTTAATACAATTTCTTAAAATATTATTTAATTAATACTTGGACAACATTTCGACATTGGTTGTTGAACAAAATCGTAGAAAAATGGGGCCATTAATATTAGTGACGGCAAGTACTATCAATATATATTATTTCTAATTGAAAATTAATTAATTAAAATAATTTCATTTAATACTTTATAGGGAAAAGGGCCCCAGTTGCACAAAATTTTTAGTGAATTTGTGCAAAAGTTTGTTGAAGTAGTTTAGTTTTTTTTGATTTTTTGTGTATTATACATAGAAAAATGTAATAGTGCAAAAATTTTTTGGTTTTCATATTTGACAACAAAAGAAAAAAATCCAGATTCATAATTTAATATATAATTGAACTACAATGGCTGTTTTTAGCAATTCATTAAAAGTTTTTTTTAAAAGAATTTATATAATCAATCAAATTGCTTCTAATATATATTAGAAAAAAATAAAATAAAATGTTTTTTCAAATAATTATTATATTTTGGAATGGGATATATGTATGTTATATTTGTAAACAATTTGCTATAATCATTCTATTTTGACTTTTTTTTTAAATTCAATTGCAAAAAAATCGTTTCTCTAGAATCAGATTTAGAGAAGTATTTGCGGTAATAAATAGTAGTACCTTAAATCATGTAAACAATTAACTAAATCTTTTTTTTTTAACGTGATATAACTGAATGTTTGGATCAAGAACTGTTGAATAATTAGTAAATAAGCAATTTCATTGTAAGTTATGTATTAATATATAGAAATTAAATTTTCAATTGACATATTAATACATATATACATTATAAAACAAGATATAACTTTCAATTGAAGAAAGAAGCTGACTTAACAATTTGTGATAATTTCTCTTGGATAGATTGTGGAAACCATATCTAACAAGTAACTTTATTTTAAATAACCATTGTCATCATTGTACACACATACATGATTCAATTCAACTTTTTTTCATATTCCATCACTATTATCAGTATTATTGCCATCAATGTCTTTAATCGGTTGTGGTGATTCTATTGTTGTATAAGTAACTTTGTTATCTATTAAAACTACCGTTATCTTCCTTCTTTTCTTAATTTTTTTGCTGTTCAATATCATCATCATTAAAATTAAAAAAATTTTAACCACCTTTATGGAGATTTGAGTGTTTTCAATAACAAGAATTCCTTATACTCTTGTAAAACATACCATCTTTTTGTTGTTTAGTCAATAAAATTATATGGTTGAGGTTCCAGATTTATGCGACAACACTTGGTAGATTATGCAAATCACGCACCCTTTATTACGTTTATTATAAAATTTATAATACAAATAATAGTAAACGACGTTACACTTACGTTTATCTTATTATTACATAATAATAATAAATATTATTAAAAAGAATTACCCAAGACCAGAACGTTTATTAAGTATTGATGCATAAAAAACAATTACATTCCAAAAAGTGTAGTGTTGCGAACAATTATTTGTTTGAGTGAAGGACAAGAACAGGTAACAAAATTTTAAACCCGTGAAATTGTTGATTAATCGTGAATTTGATAACATAAAAATAAAATGTTGGTTTGTCAACAATACCTCACCAACAGTTGTTTCGTTAACAAATGGTTCGAATTTAAGAAGTTGGAAGCAATCATACGACAAACCTTTGAAATAGTCTAATAAATTAAATTGTATTACTCGAAAATGTATTTAAAGTGTTGGTTTTCGACTCGGTTGAAGAATAACTCTCTTCCTAACTCTTCTCCTGACCATATCTCTCGATATAATCAAAATAACGAATGTCAAAATGATTGTAAACGTGACCAATTTAAGATATACGATCAAGAGGAAACATGAGCGATCTATGAGAAAATCAAACAAATTTATTTAATAAAACAAAATTTACAACTCAAAAAAATTTTTTTTGCATGTAATAAAATTCCATTATTAACTATTAACAATCTAATTATATAGATCTTGACCAATCAAATCCGCCTATATGATTATTGAATAATTGATAATAATAAAACGTTAATTAAATATATTTTACAAACAGCTTCGTAAATCTCGACTTTAAGACTTACTTTGATCAAACCCACTTATAATAATAATAAACGTTCATTTTGGAAACTTGATTTGCAAATAAATCTTTACTTTAACACTTCCCCTATAAAAAATTTGCATATGGAAATTCCGTATAAATTATAATTTTTATTGCTATGAAATTAGTTATTATTATAAAAGATACGGAATTATTCCGGAAAAAATTGTAAAATTAAAATATATGGAAATTTGCAATTTTCCATACACGAGGTTTTATTAAAAAAACGTATCAAATTAACTGAAATTACGTATTATTATACGTAAAGTATCGTATAGTGTCGTATAGTGTTCAACTATACGCCATTTGCCCATCTCTATCTAGGACCAAAAGCAACAATCATTGTACACCATTCTTCTTTCTCTACTACACTAATTGACTATAAATCACAAATTATCCAATTTATCACAGCTTCATCACGTTTTTTCTGGTCAATTGAATTATGAGTGTCATTATGATATTGATGTAAAGTTCTTTGTATTTTGTATGCAATAATTGAATGTATTTGTTTCGGATGTCTTCATAAAGTAATAACACCACTAGTTTTTGAAAATTGACTTCAATAAAACATATATATTAATAATAAAAACTCCAAAAAAAAAGATAGTTCCTCAATTTTAACATAATACTGGTGGACAAAAAAAGATAACTTTTATTGTTCAAAATTTCCTTATTAAGAAAGATCAGCTGGCCCTATAAAGACTGGTCGAGACTGGTCCTAAATTTAGGGCCGTAGTTCAAAGGGACCAGTTCAAAGACCAGTTCCAGGGCTATCTTTTAAAGACCAACACAACCCTATTTGTGAGTTATTATATTTAATTAGCCTTTAAAGCAATTTTACTTGCGTCAATATGTTTTGACTTACGTCAGGTTTTATTTATGTCGTTTTTGACTCAATGAAAGCAAATTGACGTAATAGTTTTATAACCCTAGTAACATTGCGTCAAATAGCAATAGCTCTGATAGTGCACAGTGAGACTATTTGGTGGGCTTTTTTACCCTGTGACGATTTGGTAGACAAGATTATGAAAATAAGTTTTTAAGAAATAAAAGATATTGGTTGTTAAAAATATCGTTAGTAAAATCAAAGAAAAATTATATGTTTACTACGTAATGATTTCAATCGTCTTTATGACATGGTATTAAAATGAATGCATCAACAGCAATGATAAGTTTAACTTGCGATATTATTGTTGGCGTTTGTTACTCATCCTAAAATTTTTGAAAATAGATTATTCCATATTTTTATAACTAAAATGGAATATATTTTTTTTTCGAAAAATTAGTTATAAAGCATCAACAGTCCCCGTGTTACGTACAATAAAAGCAAGCCCTCTTTAGACATACAAACATTTTCGCCGAACTAGGGAAACTTTGCCAAATTCCTCTCAGCATATTACCATATTTAGAATAATTTACACTATTATTCATTTTAGGATCCTATTTATATAGTAATGAATTTTATGAAACTCGGGGGCTTGATTTCCGTGAAGGGGGAAAACCCCCCATATTTAGTTACTGATTAAAGATTTTGTTATAATAAAAGCAGATGCGAGAAAAAAAGAAGGTATAATAGCCACAAACCTAAAAACTTACCAATATTAGACAAATGGATCGGGTTAGGTTGCAAATAAAACTGTTAACTGTACAATATACAAATTAGAATGTGATTTGTTTATAGGCATGACGACTGCTTGATATATCATTTATGGATGTTATCAATAAAGTTTTGATTTATTTACAATTTATTATTTTTTTTTTGACAATATTTATATTATTGTGTTTGTTTTGGAGTTCACTAATTATAACGATATCATTTACTGTTAGTGGTTGTAGATTTCCGTGATTTATTTGGTAGATTAAATTGTTCGAAATTTGGAAGTCTGGAAGGATGGATATTGATTAAAAAAAAAGGGGGAGAAAGACGCCGATAAACAATATAATTTTTCAATGGAAAATCACTCTTCTTTATGGACTTTTAAATTTAGAAAGGTCGAGATTCGTCCATCTGGTTTCACCAGGGAAATAAAAAAAGGAAATAAATGAAGGAAAATATTTATTATGATTTTGTGTCCTCCGGTATTTTCTTCGGTTGCATGGTTTTAGGTGACGGAAAACTGGTTTCACGTGATACTTTCCTTTGTGAATAGATTCATTTTTATATCTTTATGAAATGGTTGGTTGGTTATGCATATTTTATATTATCGATAATAAGATTTGTCATTTAAACCCTGAAGGCTGCATTTATGTGTACCGTTATACATTATATAACTGCGTGTCATCTTCTCGACCTTCTAATATCATTATTGGTAAAAACGATTGATTATTGGCTTATAAAATTCTTTATTAGTGGTCGTGTTTGTGCAAATTAAAATAAAAATAGAACATTTATTGATATATTGATTGATTAATTGATTGATTGATATTAACCAAATATCATAAATAGTATCGTTATAAACTTTGTGTTAGATAATTATAGTAATTATTTTTTAAAAAAAAAGTTCGTTCTAGAGCGTAATGCAAAAGAAACGTAAACAAAATCATTAAGAACAACAGCACAATCAGTGGTAACAATATTAACTATTATGATGTATTGTTGATTATATAAATATGAAATGTTATGGAGAAGATATCATTACACAAGCTGATTGTTTATTATCATTAATGATTAATCAAATGGTATATTAACTATATCAATTATGAGATAAATTTATGAATTTTCTTGTTGTCCAAATTTAGTTTTCATTTATTATTCGTTACAGCCAAAAAAGAGAAAATTCGCATCAATAAAAAGAATATTAGGTTTTCCTTAGCATCAATCTTAGAATTATAAATATAAATGTTAATTAGTTAATATTAATGGTTCAATGAATGATTTTTTTTAGCGTCGATAGTTTCTTTATTGTTATTATAATATGAACGGAAAATTAAAAAAAATTTTACGTGTTAGTGTAGTATTATGAACGGAAAATAAAAAAAATTTTACGTGTTAGTATTATGTGTAACAGGAAAATAAAAAAAAATTAAAAAAAATTTTTACGTGTTAGTGTGTGTAATAGGAAAATAAAAAAAAATTTTACGCGGTTGTGTAACCTTATGAAATTATGAAACTTTGCATAGAAATAATTAAATTACGCCTTTGCTTGTCTACTATTTAAAATATCGTTATTGTTTTTCTTATTTACATTGATTTTTTATAAATGTTCTTGTAACAAATTAGAATTAATTATAATATTTATTTGAATGAAATTAGTTAGTATTGATTGTAATTGAATCCACCTAGATTATCTGGGCGTTATTTTTTTTGTGTTATTATAATATATACAAGCGGAAAATAAAAGATTGTAATTATATTATGATGCATCTTCGCTTATAAATAGCTTTATCGTTGTTTATTTTCATCTAATCATTTATGATTTACGTTAGGTTTTTCACGACACTAACAAATAATTATACTCAAAATTTAAAGAAAAGAAATTGTGAGAGGTATTTATTATATTTATTTTTTAAAAAGCTCAGCATTATTATCATCCTTTTCAAAAAAAATAGCACATAAATTAATTAAAATACCTATTACTTTATTAATTTATGACACAGAAGCTGCAATAGTAATGATTTATCAAGTAAAAAAGTGCTAATTTCACTGTTGAACATGTAGATTAAAATTCCAGCCGTTCATGAATAACACGCAGCCAGGTGATTTTCTTTCAAAAGTATCTCCATCCTCACCAACCAGAAAAAAAAGTAAAAAGAGTTGTAAGTAGGCATTCGGTATCGTAGATATTATAAAGAATAAAAAATACAAAGAAAATATTTTAATAGATGCTAACCATTCATTTTCATAAAAGATAATCATAATGATGAAGATTTTACAATAACAATAACAAATTTGTATCTCCTTATCCTTTATCATCATCATTTTCTTCACCGCTCTCTTTTGCATCATCGCCACCTATATTATTTTCTTATTATTCTCACTCTTTTCATGATCTATTGATCCATATACACTGAACTCTATTAATGATATTAGTAAATCAACACTTTAAGTGGACAAACGTGAAAAAAAATCGAGTTTAAGTTTATTATGATGATGATGACGATCAACCACCTTTTGTAAAATCTTTTATAATAATATATAATGTAATTTTCCGTTTTAGTGATAATGGTTTTTTACTGCTAATAAAACGATTTTAAGTTGTTAATAGTAAATAGGTTATGGCACTTAACTTACTGGCTTGAGATATCACCATTATTAAAATCCTCTCGAAAGTGTATCCATCATTCAGTTGCCTAGGATCAATATTAACAAGTTGCTATTCAATTATACGAAAAAACATTGTAACAAGTTCTTTATTGGTTTGAATGAACAACAATTATAATCTAACTCCCCCTATACCAACGGAAGAAAATGACTACCAAATATATCTATTTTCTATTACAATAAAATGAGTGTAATTCAACTTCTAAAAGAATATTTTTGAAAAAATCCATCGCTCGTATTTCTTATTTGATTTAATAAGCGGTATGATTATATAATTACCAAAAATCAAGCCAATTAATTTTGATACAATACGAGCACAAACACTAGCCAACTCGACGACAGATATAATAGATGATTTCAATAGAAACGAACACGTCTCTGGAAAAATGGTTTTTACGAAAATGATGTCATCTTTACAATTTCAATTATCTCAAAAATTATTATCTGACGGTGGATATTTTCGTAAGCTCAAAAGGATCTCTGTAGAAAGTTACATATAAATACTTAACTCGATTTTGACCTGGGCCCAGCGACACGTTTCTACACAAAAAGTTCCAATCATAAACAAATTTGAATAAATACCTATCCTTTAGACGCAAAGATCTGTTTAAAAGTTTGGCACTTGTATTACAAAATGGAATATGGAATTCGAAAAACGTTATGGAAATTATGGGTTGCAAGAATTTGGTTTGGCAGTTTTTTCGCCACTTTTCTGAAAAAACTGTTACATGAATGCTAGAAATAAGTCCAATTATAATATCCGGACTAACAGCAACTCTAGAAGAGAAGAGAACTTTAAATTGTTTGCTAAAAAAGAAAAATACCTACAAAGGATGAAATAAAAGAAATGGTGAAGAATTGTCACAAAATATGAATAATATTTGTATAAATTTTACCAAGCAATCTACTTTATAGTTCCCAAGTAAACTTGTCAGGCACGCTTTTATTTACATATATTCCATTGTTATAATCGGGGAGGATCTTGAGAAAAGGTAAAAATTACCGCAATAAAGTTTTAGGTATAATGCAAAATTCCAGTTTTTTGAATAAAATAAGATTGGTTTTTTTCTAGCATTTATTATATAAATTTGTTTTTCGTCGAATTTGGCAACAATGGTCAATTAAATTAATAAATTGTTCCCAATTAAATTTGATTTGCATAAAAAACCTGATTGATTAACCGATCAAAACTGTAAGATATTAATATACAAATATCCCGATTTTGATTTTGATTTAACACTAATTTTTTTTTTATCCTTTTGTATAATGTTTAATTTGAATTGAATATTGTTGTTGTTATTGTTGTTGTTGTAATTCCCTTCTTATGGAACAGAAGGATGCCAAGATTTGTTATTAATAAAAATGATTTTAAATAAACATCACTCAGATCAAAAGCATCATCTTCATTTTCTTTGACTACGAAAAAAAGTCACACCAAATATTTTGAAGAACATTCCTAATGAAAAGAAACTTCTCGCCAATGTTAAACGTAAATGGAAAAAAAAAACAGAAGAAGTCTTGTACAATGATATTACTAATCAAGTTAATAAAATAAATAATAAATAAATAAACAAATTTTTTCTTTATGGAATAAAGAATGCCAAACCTTGTTGTTAATAATTAATGACTTCATTTTAAAGATCCTTTCAACTACAAAAAAAGTAAAGCTAGTCATACCAAGGAACATTTCCAATTAGAAAAGCTTCTTGATGATGTCAAACATAAATGGGAGATAAAAACAACAATGTAATAAATATTACTAATATGTTAATGACAAAATCATAAAAAAGGATAGACTCAAGTTGATCGTGTATTGAATTATTAATTTGAATTCATTCAAACACCTATACTTAACTTTAACGGACTACAATAGAAAAAGAATAAGAACTCCGTGCTAATTCTAGTTTTTTTTTTTGGTATAAAGCGAATAAAATAAATGGTAAGTTGATCTGTTTAATTATTTTCTATTGTCGCATTATCTGTTACTAAAAAAAGTAAATTATAATAATAACGTTACCATTCTTTCAATAAATGCGAATTTTAACTCGTTTTTTTACATAGTAAATAGAAGTTTCTTTTGATTCTTTACAGAAACAAATAATGAGAAAATAAATATACTCGATTTCTTATAAATATATACAACTTTGAATCATAAATTATTTGATTTAAAAAAAAACATGTATAATATTTTATTCAATTCTTCATTCACGATCACTAAACAATTGGACCAAAATGATACTGAAATAGACTCTTTTACAAACTATCAAAATGATAATAACAACGACAGTGACGATGGTAATGATGATAACGATGACAATATCAATGACAATGACAATGACAATGACAATGACGACGATGATGATAATGATGACGATGACTATGATAATGACAATGATAATGACAATAACAATGACGACGACGACGACGACGACGATGACGATGACGATGACGATGACGATGACGATGACGATGACGATGACGATGATAATGATAATGACAATGACAATGACGATGACGATAACGATAGGACTGATTCTAGAGCTACAATAAATCTTATACATTATCGTAATGGTGATAGGGAACCAATAAACCCAAGCTCTTCAAATGAAAACACAAATGATGCTTACAATTTTTATGACATATTCGCAAATCAGCAGTTTGATTTCAACTTGTAATTTAATTAAGATAAGAATATAAGAACATCATATGAAAGCCTCTATATAAGAAAAGCATATATCTTGGGAAACACCTCCATCTAAGAACAACATTTTATAAGAATATCTTTAAAAAAGTTACTTACTAGTGTATTAATTTACAAAATTTTGTATTTGTATAAATAATGATAGATTATTTTTTTAAAATAGATAATTAAAAGTATTGTTAAATATTTTCAATATAAACAAACCATTTTTCTTTATAATAAAACTGTAATAAATATCCATAATTTCCATTATAATAAAAAAAGAAATATTTGTATGTTTTCATAATGATGGCTAAAGTTTGAGGCTATTATTTAATATATAACAATTTTTAATCGTTGAGCGCAGATAAATTAATATTTATTTTCATTGGTCCTCAGTTTTACCCTGTGAAATATGTTACGAGTTGCAATTTATCTCTATTGTTATAATACAAGTGCTTATAATGTAATCGTCTGTTATCGCTTTATAATTTCTTTTATGTAATGTTATCATTGCGTGATTATTTTGGATTGATACAACATGAAAAAACAA